AAGCTTTCGTGGGCTACAACCAACTTCTTCGGATGCATATAAGAAGTGGGTTGTAGCCCACGAAAGCTTATGCTCTAATAAATTTGTTAGTCTCTAAGGTGCCACAAGTACTCCTGTTCTTTTTAAAAGTCATGAGTCACTTCTGAAAATGTAGGTGTATTGTTTCCCTCTCTTTGACGAAGTCATGGAAACTAGGGGCAGAATAAACCAATCAGCCCATCTTGCCTAACCCTGTTACTGGGGAAATGAAGGGGACAATACAGGACTTTAAATGCGAACTGCAAAGAATGAAGTGGGTTTGTGCCTGTAGCTTACTTTTCCACTATCAAGTGTCATGGCCTCGATTGCTCCTTGCTGGTTTTGCACCTGCCAAGGCAAATGCTTTACCCCTCCTGGGGTAAAAGAAAATCCAAATAAACAATGGCTCCAAGCTGTTCTCTGCAGACTTTTTTTCTCAAGGGTCTAAGCTACCTCTTCAGCACCCCAATACAGGGGAGTTTCCACTCACCCCTCTCTCAGAACCTCTGTCTGTGGGCTACAAAACAGTGGTTGCACTCAAAGGTCATATAACACACTTTCTGTTTTCCCTTGGCCCATAACCTCTTCCTTCATTCTGCTGGTCCCTTAGCTTCCTTCCTAGAACTTGGCTATTTTTGGTTCTCTAGCTTAACACACACAACCTTTCCTCATGTTTCAACAACGCTTTATTACCAGCCCCCACACCCACTGCTCTATAACAAAATCCACACAGCTTACCTTTCTTTAAAATTCTGAACCTTTCTGACAACCTGTCTCTTAGGCCTCCAACTAGGTCCCTTCGCAGATTCCTCCTAAGCCTTTTCCAAGCCTTTTTTCCCTGAGTAGATCCAGTTTCTCCCCCCCCCCCCCACCGCCGCCATTTTAAAAAAATCATAAATGTTAGGTATATGAAGACTTGTCTTTCTGTTTTGAGGGAGGATTCCTTGAAAAGAGACATTATTAAGGGCACAAGAGCAAACTATCCCACTGCGTAGAAAAGATAGGAAGTATGGCAAGAGACCACCCTGACTTAACCAGGAGATCTTCAATGATCTAAAACTCAAAAAAGAGTCCTACAAAAAGTGGAAACTCGGTCAAATTACAAAGGATGAATATAAACATATAACACAAGTATGTAGGGACAAAATTAGAAAAGCCAAGGCACAAAACTAGCTGGGGACATAAAAGGAAACAAGAAAACATTCTACAAATACATTAGAAGCAAGAGGAAGACCAAGGACAGAGTAGGCCTGTTACTCAATGGGGGAGGAAAGACAATAACAGAGAATGTGGAAGTGGCAGAGGTGCTTAATGACTTCTTTGTTTTGGTTTTCACCAAGAAGGTTGGTGGCGATTGGACATCTAAAATAGTGAATGCCAGTCAAAATGAGGTAGGATCAGAGTCTAAAATAGGGAAAGAGCAAGTCAAAAATTACTTAGGCAAGTTAGATGTCTTCAAATCACCAGGGCCTGACGAAATGCACCCTAGAATACGCCAGGAGCTGACTGAGGAGATATCTGAGCCATTAGCAAATATCTTTGAAAAGTCATGGAAGACGGGAGACATTTCAGAAGACTGGAAAAGGGCAAATGTAGTGCCCCTCTATAAAAAAGGAAATAAGGACAACCCAGGGAATTACAGACCAGTCATTTTAACTTCTGTACCCAGAAAGATAATGGAGCAAATAATTAAGCAATCAATTTTCAAACACCTAGAAGAGAATAAGGTGATAAATAACAGTCAGCATTGATTTGTCAAGAACAAATCATGTCAAACCAACCTAACAGCTTTCTTTGACAGGGTAACAAGCCTTGTGGATAGGAGGGAAGCAGTAGATGTTGTATATCTTGATTTTAGTAAGGCTTTTGATACTGTTTCACATGACCTTCTCATAAACAAACTAGGGAAATACAACCTAGATGGAGCTACTATAAGGTGGGTGCATAACTGGTTGGAAAATGGTTCCCAGAGAGTCGTTATCAGTGGTTCACAGTCATGTTGGAAGGGCATAACGAGTGGAGTCCCACAGGGATCGGTTCTGGGTCTGATTCTGTTTAATATCTTCATCAATGATTTAGATAATGGCATAGAGAGTACACGTATAAAGTTTGTGAACGATACCAAGCTGGGAGGGTTTGCAAGTGCTTTGGAGGATAAGATTAAAATTCAAAATGGTCTGAAGTAAATAGGATGAAATTCAATAAAGACAAATCCAAAGTACTTCACTTAGGAAGGAACAATCAGTTGAACACATACAAAATGGGAAATGACTGCCTAGGAAGGAGCACTGTGGAAAGGAATCTGGGGGGTCATAGTGGATCACAAGCTAAATATGAGTCAACAGTGTAACGCTGTTGCAAAAAAAGTAAACATCATTCTGGGATGTATTAGCAGGAGTATTGTAAGCAAGACACGAGAAGTAATTCTTCCGCTCTTCTCCGCGCTGATTAGGCCTCAACTATAGTATTGTGTCCAGTTCTGGGCACCACATTTCAGGAAAGATGTGGACAAATTGGAGAAAGTCCAGAGAAGAGCAAGAAAAATGATTAACGGTCTAGAAAATATGACCTATGAGGGAAGATTGAAAAAGTTGGGTTTGTTTAGTCTGGAGAAGAGAAGACTGAGAGGGGACATGATAACAGTTTTCAAGTACAAAAATGTTGTTATAAGGAGAAGGGAGAAAAATTGTTCTTCCTTAACCTCTGAGGATAGGACAACAAGCAATGGGCTTAAATTGCAGCAAAGGCAGTTTGCTTTGGAAATTAGGAAAAACTTCCTCACTGTCAGAGTGGTTAAGCACTGGAATAAATTGCCTAGAGAGGTGGTGGAATCTCCATAGTTGGGGATTTTTAAGAGCCGGTTGGACAAACACCTGTCAGGGATGGTCTAGATAATACTTAGTCCTGCCTTGAGTGCAGGGGACTGGACTAGATGACCTCTCGAGGTCCTTTCCAGTTCTGTGATTCTATGAAAAAGAGCTAGCATAGGCATTTTCTAAGTCTTCAGTTGGAAAAATCAACTTGGAGGCGTTCGAATTTTTAATAGAGTTTTTCACTCTCAAATATTTGTCAATGCTAAGTCAAATAGTTAAAATAATAGTTTTGGATAGTCTTGACTAAAAATCTCCTCCCCACTAAATTGCTCAGTTTTCAGTCTCTTGTAGTATCATAATCCAGCTAGCTCTCCAGTCATCCAAGAGTCCACCATCAAAAACAGAATAGACAAGCCCTCAGATTTCAAATGTAAAAACAAGCAATGAAAGAACAATGTTAAAGGGAAAGACAAAGATGAATATAGTAAAAGAGCAAAAAGAAAAACATTTTTCCTTGCAGGTCACTCTTTTTTAAAAATTTTAAATATATTTTAAAAGGCTGTTTTCTGATCTCACAAATCAAAAAAGTGCATGCTAATGGCTGATCTACAGCACCAGCCAAAAATCAAAGAAGTGTGTGTGTGAGGGAGGGGAAATACTCTCCCAGCAAATGTTTCTGAGTTTTGCTGGGGGAAAATGTGTTATGTGAGAGCACAGAGAAACGTTTCTATTGAACACTGGTTTCGTTGTGAGGTGCTGCGTACTGTGCAACTCTAATGGCTAGAATGGCAGAGCCAATGCCTGCACATCTGTGGCAGTGTGCCAATAAGCCCTAATACTATTGTTATAAAGAAGAGTCTCCTTTAGCTCCCATGTAAGCAGCAGGACCTGAGTTTTGTCATTTCCTATGTGACCATGCATCCCTTACAAACAGCAGCAATAGTCCATACCGATTTTAAAAGATATCCCATATCCCTGGATCTGAACGCAACTTTAAAAATAAAACCTTGAGAGGTCATCATGGCTGTAAACTAATTAGCTGATGTGTTTAAAGAGTTTTGAAAATGTAACGTTCCTGCTCATGATTGGTGGGAACTAATGTTTGTATATCCATGCAAGGTATTTTGATTTATCGGCACTCAAGCGCCAAAACAAGTACTGAGTCCACGCCTATAAGAGTAGCACGGGAGGTGATGGATGGAAGATAAGTGCCAGTGAGCCTTAGCCCATTTCATGTGATGTGGGTGGTATTGAACCCAGCTTCCAGAAGAGAAAGATGGCTATAGAGCCAATCTCATGGATGAGCTATGTACATTTTCTGTATTTTCCTTCCCATTGCTGAAATGTAATGAAGCTTTCTCTTCAGTATCAGTTTATTCACTCTGAGTGATTGCTTCAGTGATGTCTCAAGTTTGTGCTCATGACGTCATTTAGTGTCCTCAAACTACGATGTTACTGAATTGTGCCAGAAGAGCGGCGGGGGGGGGGGAGAAAGGGAAAAAAGCTTTAATTGAGGAACAAAGACTTTGACAGTCAATCATTAGTAATGAACAACAGAGGAGGACAGTGTGGTGGTAACTCTAATCATGAGACTGTCTGCTACAGTGTTCAATACAAAACACAGTCCCTTCACCACTTGGAGGGTGGCAGACAAGCATCTCAAGGTCATGACTCCTGGCAGTAAGGAGTAAAACAGCACGTTAGTCGCTCTCAGGCAGATTAATTCTTTTAGGCAAAGTGGGAATAATCTTGTTCCATGGCTGTGGTTACTGTGTCTCACCCCTTTCACTGTTCTGGCACTACAAATGTTTGGTTTTGCTTAGTGTTTCTTCCATCCAAGCTGCTCATGAGACAACACTCTTAAACTGCGTGGGAGACATGCAAGGGAAGGCAGGAAAGAAAACTATAGATGCTTTACCTGAGCAAAGCAGGGAGACAGGAGTTTATTTCTTTACTGTCTAACGGGCCCTCCCCTCCCCGTTAGCCTAATCCCAATACACAGAGTGAGGCAGTTGGAATAAGAGAATGCTTGTGCCCTGCAAGAGGTGTGGAAGATTCTTCCATTTCCTCAAAATAAGTAAAAATGCGGCATTATGTAATGAATGATGTCTTTTGCCCATAAACCCCAGAGCACACTCACAATGTCATCCTTGCTTTTTCCTCCTCCAGTTCAGATGCTGTGGGGTCTCAAACTACACCGACTGGTTTGAAGTGTACAATACTACACGGGTGCCAGACTCGTGCTGCTTGGAATTCAGCGAGAATTGTGGACTCCACTCGCCGGGGACCTGGTGGAAAGCTGTGAGTATTTCTCTAAGGCCTGGTCTACACTACGGGATTAATTCGGATTTAGCAGCGTTAATTCGAATTAACCCTTCACCCGTCCACACTACAGAGCCATTTAGTTCGAATTAAAGGGTGCTTTAAATCGATTTCTGTACTCCACCTGGACGAGCGGAGTAGCGCCAAAATCGATTTTGTTAATTCGAATTAGGGTTAGTGTGGCCGCACACCACCGAATTAATGTGGTTAAAATAAATGGGGTAGTGTGGCCGCACACCACCGAATTAATGTGGTTAAAAACCGAATTAATGTGCTTAGTGTGGCCGCGCACAATCGAATTTATACAACCTGTTTCCCAAATTCGAATTATCTAAATTCGGATTAATCCCGTAGTGTAGACATACCCTCAGTCAGCTGCCAGGGCAGTTACCTAAGGCTTGTTTTAATTCAACCGACATAAGGGAGGTATGGGGGATGGCCACCAACAGGTCTACAGGATGCAAAGGTGGACTGGAGACATTAAAACTTGATCATCATAAAATGGCCTCACAGAGCTGCCAAGGGCCATTATTTCATCTTGTACCATGCAGTGAAGCCAGCACCTTGAATAGTTTTCCAGAGGGCTGAGGCTTCTTCCCTCCCAAGAGACAGCACTGGGCTCTGGAAGTCACATGCATCTCTCCGGACACATGGCTACTGCTGACAATGATCTCATTGTTATGCTTATAAGAAGCACACGGAATCTTTTTTAAAAAGGGGATAAGGCAATATGCCGCGTTTATTGCGAGTACAATTTAAGCATTAAAATCAGCATCTGCAGCTCCGATGTTGATGCAGAACGAACCCAAAGCCCAATACACCCTTCTTTTATAGTAATAAGTTCCCATACAAGTCTCTGGACCTTGCTGTGTCACACCGGAGCTGTCAATCACGAGGTATTCAAGGTTGCTCTTAATTAGCATTATTTTGAGTTGTTACCGGGAGGATCCACAGCTGTTTCTTATCTGTCCCTTTGGCTCAACTCCTTATCTCGTCCTTGGGGTGTATGCCTCTGCTTTAATCTGCCATCCTGGTGATTGATAATAAATTACCATCCGGCCCAGTTGTCCTTTCTCAGTTAATTACCATACATTCGTCACTCACACCAAACAGTAAATAAGGCAATTACAGCCATAAAACTTCTATCCTTCTAAGAACAAATGTTAACACAATCCGCAAAAAATAAACTCAGAACAATTTCTTCTTACTAATTCAAGGCTATAATTTCTTCTTACTAATTCAAAGCTAGCAAAATGGAGTATACGGCAAAATAAGCAAAATGCAGTACAATTTTACTTGAGACAATTTCTTCCCATTAGGCTTTTGGCCTACATCATGAGCAGAGGAGTTCCGACTGACTAGGAAAGAGACAGTGCCTTTCAGTTTACTGTTGCATCTGTAGGGGTGGAACAGGATGCAGCCAAACACATACCCTCATGATTATCAGAGGTCCTGATATGGAACACAGTAGCAACAGGTTGGAGTGGCACAGACATTCACCAGGCACTAGAGCTGTGTAACCCTGCAGAGTTCAATTCCTGACAGGGAGTTTGATCCAAGTCCCACTGAAGCCTTTCTACTGACTTCAGTGGTCTTTGAATCAGGCCCAGCATTTGTGAGCTCAACGCCGGAATTTATTCTCAGAGCTCAGAAACGAATAAACCCTGCAGTTTGCTTTTATCAGACTCAAGCCTCCAGAGGTAAGCCCTGCCCCCAAATCCTCACCCAACTCTTCCCTGAGCCGGTAGCCAGACACCCTACCCATCTCCTAAAGGAATCCTAGGACCCTCCTTTTATACCATAGATAGCTGTAGGGAAGGTCTTGGGGCCAGGGCAGCTACTGAGGTGGAATAAGGGAGTTTTGCTGCTTTCCAATTGAAGTAAAAAAGAAATTCAATTCTCAGCCTGATTTCAGTGACACTTCACAAGCATGGGCTGAAATTTCTAAACAGAGGCTGGACTCCAACCAAAGCTGGTTTGGTTCTAATCAACACGTCTCCCAGCTCTACTGTACAGCCTCCAGTTACCTTTACATAACACTTTGGATAAAGAAACAAACAGCTTTTCTTGTTCTTGAATATGGGGATGAGAGCCGGCGAGCAGGGCCAAACCCCTAGTCACTGCTGTAGATTAATACCTTTTTCCTTATACATATTGTGAAAGCAACACAGACTAGATGTTTAACAACTACAAAGTCCATCAGCTGGGTCTGGGACTGGCACGAAGGAAGCAAACCAGCCACTTCAGTGAATGTGCGTCAGGCCTTAGCACGCTCCTATTTGTAAGTCAGCTGCACACGCTAAATCCCTTTCTGTGTCACGTGAATGGCCACAAGAACATAAGAACGGCCATACCGGGTCAGACCAAAGGTCCATCTAGCCCAGTATCCTGTCTACTGACAGTGGCCAATGCCAGGTGCCCCAGAGGGAGTGGACCTAACAGGCAATGATCAAGTGATCTCTCTCCTGCCATCCATCTCCATCCTCTGACAAACAGAGGCTAGGGACACCATTCCTTACCCATCCTGGCTAATAGCCATTAATGGACTTAACCACCATGAATTTATCCAGTTCTCTTTTAAACGCTGTTATAGTCCTAGCCTTCACAATCTCCTCAGGTAAGGAGTTCCACAAGTTGACTGTGCGCTGCATGAAGAAGCACTTCTTTGTATTTGTTTTAAACCTGCTGCCTATTAATTTCATTTGGTGACCCCTAGTTCTTGTATTATGGGAATAAGTAAATAACTTTTCCTTATCCACTTTCTCCACATCACTCATGATTTTATATACCTCTATCATATCACCCCTTAGTCTCCTCTTTTCCAAGCTGAAGAGTCCTAGCCTCTTTAATCTCTCCTCATATGGGACCCGTTCCAAACCCCTAATCATTTTAGTTGCCCTTTTCTGATCCTTTTCTAGTGCCAGTATATCTTTTTTGAGATGAGGAGACCACATCTGTACGCAGTATTCGAGATGTGGGCGTACCATTGATTTATATAAGGGCAATAATATATTCTCAGTCTTATTCTCTATCCCCTTTTTAATGATTCCTAACATCCTGTTTGCTTTTTTGACCGCCTCTGCACCAGGGCCGGCACCAGCTTACCAAGCATGTGCTTGGGGCGGCACCTGGAGGGGGGCGGCGCTCAGGCCCGAGAGCGGGGCCGCGGCCGGGCTCTCCGCCCTCCTCCCGGCGCTCCGGCCGGCAGGGGAGAGCGGGCCTGCGGCCGGACTCTCCACCCTCTCCCGGCGCTCCGGCCGGCTGGGGAGAGCGGGCCCGCGGCCCTCCTCCCGGCGCTCCGGCCGGTCGGGCTCGCCGCCCTATCCGCCCGGGGGGCGGCGGGAGGCTTTTTTGCCTGGGGCGGCAAAAAAGCCAGAGCCGGACCTGCTCTGCACACTGCGTGGACATCTTCAGAGAACTATCCACGATGACTCCATCGTCATCCTGACATGTTGTAGCTAAATTAGCCCCCATCATGTTGTATGTATAGTTGGGGTTATTTTTTCCAATGTGCATTACTTTACATTTATCCACATTAAATTTCATTCGCCATTTTGTTGCCCAATCACTTAGTTTTGTGAAATCTTTTTGAAGTTCGTCACAGTCTGCTTTGGTCTTAACTATCTTGAGCAGTTTAGTATCATCTGCAAACTTTGCCACCTCACTGTTTACCCCTTTCTCCAGATCATTTATGAATAAGTTGAGTAGGATTGGTCCAAGGACTGACCCTTGGGGAACACCACTAGTTACCCCTCTCCATTCTGAGAATTTACCATTAATTCCTACCCTTTGTTCCCTGTCTTTTAACCAATCCATGAAAGGACCTTCCCTTTTATCCCATGACAGCTTAATTTACGTAAGAGCCTTTGGTGCGGGACCTTGTCGAAGGCTTTCTGGAAATCTAAGTACACTATGTCCACTGGATCCCCCTTGTCCACATGTTTGTTGACCCCTTCAAAGAACTCTGATAGATTAGTAAGACATGATTTCCCTTTACAGAAACCATGTTGACTATTGCTCAACAGTTTGTTTTTCTATGTGTCTGACAATTTTATTCTTAACTATTGTTTCGACTAATTTGCCCGGTATTTTGACTAATTTGCCATCTGGGGGCTTGGTGGAGAGCACGCCACGCAGTGGTTGAGGAGGCTAAAGGGAATGCAGGCATCAGGGGAATGTTTTCATAGGAAGCACTTGTTGTGGAGAATTCAGGCAGAGTTCATGAGCTCCACTGGTCAAGCACCTCCTCTTGAAAAGCCAGCCCTGATAATAAACAATTTCATCAGCTGCAGCTCTCTTCTTGGGGTGGAGTTTTCAAAAACACTTAATGCAATGGGGGTTGTGCTCCTAAGTAACTTTCAGTGTGACTTATGTTCACCAGTTACTTTGGCAATGTTGAAAATCCCACCCAGGCCGGACTCTCAGGAGCCTGCAATCCTGCTCCTGGCTGTCCACAAATTCCTGGGGGGGTTGCTTAGTGACAACTGATGGCAGCAGGCTGGGGGGTGAGGGCAGGAGTTCTATATCAGGCTAAGGAGGAAAGGGAGATTCATGACCACTTATGTGAGCTTGGTGGGTGGTTGCCACTATTCTGAAGCTCCCCATGTAATTTATGCCATGCTGCATAGCAAGAGGGGCTGTGACCATGCGTGAGGAGTAGGAAGAATAGATAGGAAAGGTCCTTCCAAACCCTTCCCCAAACCAAAATATTCAGCCTGGGGAAATATTCTAATGGCAGGGAAAAGGTCTATGAAGAATTAAATATTTGTGGCCTCAGACTTTTACAAATTAATTGTCCAATTTTAAACTATAATGAGCCTGAAAAACAACTCATTTTTAATACAGGCTATTCCCAGCATTTGCTCAATAGTCACATGGAACTGTACTGCATGTTTGACCTCTTAAGGGATGGATACATCTTACTATGGTGCAACTAGAGCTCTTAAAGGGCTGGGCCAGTAACATCAGAACATGGTCTACAGTGCAGAGGATGTGAGGGAGATTCCCAACCTGAGTCATTCATTTTAGGTGACAGATCTGAGGAACTGTCCCAGATTGAGGTGTCAATAAAGGAAGTATGGGAACAAATTGATAAATTGAACAGCAATAAGTCACCACCACCAGATGGTATTAACCCAAGAGTTCTGAAGGAGCTCAAATATGAAATTGCAGAACTAAATGTGGTATGTAACCTGTCACTTAAATCAGCATCTATATCAGATTACTGGAGGATAGCTAAAGTAAAACTGATTTTTAAAAAGGACTCCAGAAGGGATCCTGGCAAGTACAGGCTGGTAAGCCTAACTTCAGTACCAGGCAAGCTGGTTGAAACTATAGAAAAGAACAGAATTATCAGACATATAGATGAACACAATATGTTGGGGAAGAGTCAACGCAGCTTTCATAAAGGGAAATCATTCCTCACCAATCTGTTAGAATTCTTTGAGGGGGACAACACGCTTGTGGACAAGGGTGATCTGGTTGATATAGTGCACTTGAACTTTCAGAAAGCCTTTGACAAAGTCCCACACCAAAGGCTCATAAGCGAAATAAGCAGCCATGGGATAAGAGGGAAGGTCCTCTCGTGGATCAGTAACTGGTTAAAAGATGGGAAACAAAGGCTCGGAATAAGATAATAAGATGGAAAATATAATGCCTATGCCCCTATATAAATCCATGGTATGCCCACACCTTGAATATTGCATGCTGTTCTGGTCGCCCATCTCAAAAAAGGTATATTAGAATTGGAAAATAATGGTAATGAAAATGATTAATAGTATGGAACAACTTCCATTTGAGGAGAGATTAAAAAAATTGGGACTTTTCAGCTTAGAAAAGAGACAACTAAGGGGGGATATAATAGAGGTCTATAACATCATGAATCAGGTGGAGAAAGTGAACAGAAGTGTTATTTATGCCTTCACGCAACACAAGAACCAATGAAATTAATAGGGAGCAGGTTTTAAATTAACATAAGGAAGTATTTCCCACAATGCACAGTCAACCTGTGGAACTCCTTGCCAGGGGGTGTTGTGCAAGCCAAAAGCATAACTTGGTTTAAAAAAAAGAGTTACATAGGTTTATGGATGATAGGTCCATCAATGGCTATAAGCCAAGATGGTCAGCAATTCAACGCCATGTTCCTAAATCTCTGTTTGCCAGAAGCTGGGACTGGACAATGAGATGGATCACTTGATAATTGCCCTGTTCTTTTTATTCCCTCTGAAGCGTCTGGCATCGGTCACTGTCAGAATGGGCTAGATGGACCATTGGTCTGACCCAGTCTGGTCATTTGTATGTTATGTTCTTAAGTGTGCCCCATGCCTAGTAATTAAACTGGGAAGAAAATAATCGAGGAACTTCTGTAATGCAAACCTAAGTTATGCAGAAGGTAAAGGGTGGATACATATTGTACAGCAGGTGGCACAACACAACAGCGCTTACTAGAGACTCTGATTAACTGTTTTCTTTATAGTATGTTATTTCAACCTTTTCACGTATTTCCATGTTCTAGGAAAACAGTAAAATTGATTTCAGAATTACAAAATGTTGATACTTAGCTCTTACAGGGCAAAAGAGCATGCCAGAAACCAGCACCTGCTCACTTTTAGTACGGGACTTGTATCTTTTGGAGGAGCAGCACCTCATGCCCACTGCCCATCCCATATGGCCTTTTGGATGCACATCCTTCTGTGTCATTAAAAATCAATGTTACATTGGAAAGTCTCAAGCCAGGAAGTCATTGTGTTAGTTACAATGCTGAAAAGACAATTCTAGCTACCCAGCAGCTCAGTTTGACCTGTCTCATTCCTATATGTGCCTTCACGTTCCCAGTGGACTAGAGGCTTATGCTTGTGTCTAATACAATACTCTCTGTTTCCTAGCCTTGTTATGAGACAGTGAAAATATGGCTCCAGGAAAACCTGCTAGCAGTGGGGATCTTTGCCCTGTGCACAGCTTTGGTTCAGGTAGGCTCTTATTTCAATTTCTTATTGCCTGAGTGATTGCAGTTGGATTACAAATTATTGAAACAAACTGGTTTCTACATTATTTCTTCCCAGCCTGTTTTTAACAATTTCCAAAATATTCTATTAAATCTTCCTTGGATTTTTAATGTAACCAAAATATCAGAGGGAAACTGCAATAATAAAAACTATATACAGTATATGTTACCATGAATATCTACACACATGCAGTTTCCTTTTTTTAATGCCCTAAATGATTAGGATATGATTTATTTATTTACTTTTTGTCACTCAACATGGCCAGCAAAACCAGACAGGTCAGTTTCATCTTCCGGTTCTCCTGCCTTAGCGTAAGACTGGGTTTAGCTTGCAAAACCAGCAGGGGAATGTTTATATTAAATTTTAACAAAGCACTTAAATGAAAGCCTCAATCCTGCATACACAATCATAGACTTGATTTTCTTTATGTGAGTATTCCCATTAACTTCAATAGCATTATGCACCTGAATAAAGTCAGGCATGTATTTATTTCTTTACAGGTGCAGGGCCTATATTTGTACTTCAAGCATGGCTATGACCAGAAACATGGCTAAATATTAACAGCATGCTGATGCCTATGTCTACGTGTGCCTATGCTGCAATCAGAGGTATGACTGCAGCACATGTAGACATACCCAGTCTAGCTTTAATCCAGTTAACAGGAGTACCAATAGCAGCACAGGCTTCAGTGTGAGCTGTCCAAGCCTGACCAGGACCATGGATACTTACTTTGGCTGGCTAGCCCACCCTAAAATCAGTGCTGCTGTGGCTTCACTGCTTTTGGTACTCGCGCTAGCTAGATTAAAGCTAGACTCTGACATACCTGTGACTGCAGCATAAACGTACCCTTATTTTCTAGCAGTGACTTTCATGTCTCATTCATACTCAGCTTACAAGTCAGAAGTATGATTACTCTACACTAACTGTGCAGTAACTCAATTAAGATGTGGTTTTATGCTTTGCATGCCTCCAGCAATAGAGAGTCTGGAATCAGAACTGGCTCATGGTGGTGCTGATGATGCATTAGGCAGAATTGCATACATCCAACACTTCCATAGTCTTCTACTGGCGCTGCAGTTTATGGCCCCGCTTTGGTAAAGCACATATTTGAGTTGGGAAGTATAATAATGAGAAACTTACTTTCTTCTCAGACAGAGGTGAGTGAAGATGCTTAGGGAATGGATATGTGCAGGGAAATAGTGTAGCAAACAGAGCTTGAGCCTCCCTATTTGGTCTATAACCACACTTCAGAGGGGCTGGGTACACATGCCACATTTAGGGAGTCTTTAAAAGATGTATTAGTTACACTGTTCATAAACTCATATCATCCCTCCCCAATAGACAGTGTTTATATGTAGAGCATTTAAAATCATGTTGTATACATCTGACCAATTGTAATGACTTGTTTTCATTAGGAAAACAATTTTAGACAATTTTTGAAATGTTTACTGGAGGTTGTAGTGAAAATTATGAAATGCACAGAAAATACTTCAAGCCTGAAAAGCTTTTGCCAGGGTCTTCCCCCTTATTCCCCCCCACCACCACCTGTTTGAACCTAATTATTGACTAAAGATCCAAAACCCATTGTGAGTTAATGAGACTCTCTCCATTGACTTCTGTGGGATTTGGATCAGGCTCTAATTGCTTGGCAACTTTTTTGGCTGGCACTTTTGAAGTGCAAGGAAGTGCACTTGTGCAAGGAAGTCATACACAAGTAACCCCTTAAAAAACAACATGTACCTAGTGCAGTAGGAGAATCTTCTGAATAGGTGCATGCTAGGGGCCTCAATAAACAAATGTGCAAGTTAACCCGCTCTATTGGAGACTGCCACATGCAGACATTCTCTGACACGCTGATCTGCTTTGAGTCAGGAAAAGGTCCGTGTTCTAATGAATAAAGCAGCTGCTTTAATAGCCAACAGAATCCCATTCCATGGTATAAAAAGCCAGAGCAAAGTCTGGAAGTTAGAGATCAAGAGCCATTTATTTAACCTAAAAATGTCTGTGCTCAGATAAAACTACCAATATCATTGCTCAAAGGCTGTTTAAAAAATAATCCTTGTAGGGAATTGCCATTTAACCAGACTATCAATTGATTTTAAAGTGGCCAAACTAATCATTTCAAAGAATATATATATATATATATATATATATATATATATATATATATATATATAGATATATATATATATATATATATATAAAGAACTGCTACATGATAAACATTTAACCCTGAGGAAGTGATTACAACTGAGCTTTGGCAGAAATAGCAGCAGCTACACTTAAATAAAAGAACTAAGTATTTTACAAATGAGGGTAAGGATCATGATTGCCATTTTACATATGGAAAAACTTAGGAAAAGAGATCCTGTGATGTATTTAGGCACCTAATTCCCCTTGAAGTCAGTGGAAGTTAGGCACCTAAATACCTTTGAGGAGACACACAGTAGGTCAATGGCAGAGCTGGGAATAGAAACCATTTCTCCTAACTCCCAATGTAGGGCCACAGCCTCTTGATTAATCTCAAAGTTTTGCTCAGGCCTTTGGGAGCGCGTGCACTGTTGATGGAGCCTGCTTATTTTTTTGTAGAGATGGACCCTAATGATTGTCAGCACTCTTCCCTCCATGGATATGTTCGTGAAATCACATAGCTTTGGAAAATAGGAAGAACGGCACTATCCTTAAGTTTGAGACAAAAACATTGTCTCCCATAGTCATGGATACTGTGACAAATACAGACCCACGGCTGTCTGGGTGGGTCGCTACTGTAAAGTAAAATATCTTTCAGCAACTGATGCCTCATTATTTCCTGGCAAATAAGGGCTGCTTTTATACCTGGCACCAGAACTGAGAGCAGGGCCCTTGTTTGTCCATGTCCTCCTGCTGGCACCCCTGAATGAGTGGTGTAGATGGGAGCAGAGGAGTCAAGCAGAGCAGAACAGGAGCCTGTGATCACATAATTAAAGACTGTATCATAAGACGTATGCATATAGGGGCAAAGTCATGTTGCACAAGTAACCTTAATTCTGGCATTTCCTAACTTTTCAGTGTTTGACTTTGCACCCTCAATAAGGTGGATCTAACTCTTTTTTGTAATACTATGTCTGTCAATTTACTTTTTGTTTTGTTTCTTTAGATTCTTGGACTGACCTTTGCAATGACCATGTATTGCCAGGTAGTCAAGGCAGACACCTACTGTGCATAGAAACCATCTCAAGCCTCTATGCTTCTCCTCAAAAGGACATAGGAGAAAGCTCCTTCATGTTCATTCATCTGATCTTTTTTCTATGTAAGATAAACTGTGTATAATCCTATATCTCTGAAGATTTTGTAAATGACCCTAGTTTATTGAGGGAGGAAAAAAGGGATGGGGGGGGGGGGGAAGCCAAGGGAAGATCAGTACTTGGATTGGCATAGGCAGGAGGAGGAAGTATTGTCTGTAGAAAAAAAGAATGCTCCAACATGACAGAAGAAAACAGTTCCGTTTGCATGGACTGTGGCAAGACTGAAGATGCTGCTTAAGAGGAGCTGGTCTGCAAACCAGTGCTAGCATAGTCATCAGACACTGAAAAGAGCTCCAGGAATCCAGAAAGGTTTCCTTCCAGAATATATTATGGGCTGATGTGTGTGGGGGGTGGGGGAGGAGTGGAAAGTTAACTATCCTTCAGTATTGAAAAAAGAAGGCGTGGAATAGCTAATATTGATGGAACTGTCATTTTACTACAGTTTGCTTTGTATGCAGCTAGTGTCACAGCAAGCCTCCAAACTATCTCAAGAAGATTTTTGCAGCCAGGCATGGGTCATCTTCAGAAGTGTTTTTAGTTTCATGTGCTCTGAAGTCAGGAGCTAATCAGGATCTGAGTAATGAGACCTGCCTGGTAAGGGAAAAAATTCTTAGTGGACATTGTGTCACTTATTAATTTGCAATGGTATAGAACCAATAAGAGTGTACATGTATAATATATTCATAGACACTTACCATTCTGAAGGGAGGTAAAATAACCCTGCATCTCGCCTCAGAAGATGGAAGCTTTCTACCCCATTTCACATTCCAAGTGAACAAATACTCAAAGGGAAATAATGGCGTATTATTTCTTGTAGGAGACACTATCACTATTACCTCTGGGGAAACAAGTAATTACTTTCAGCTGTATCTTCATTTCTGTAAACAACTTGTGAGTGGGCTTTCTCTGTCACTCTCCTATGGTTTTATTTTTTCCATTCCTGTTTCAAGTCAGTCTACCAGCAACTATCACTCATTTCTGCACTTAAAGAGCTGTCAGCTGTTTCTTCACTGAATGTCATTAATTTTCCCTGGGATAGTATCATCTGCAGATAGTATAGGGTTTGTCTTGTCAAAGAAACATGTGTTACACAGTGCTTAAGACTTGAGATGTTTTCCTGCTTAGAAATGCTAAACTACTTATTTACAACATCTAAGGAAAATGGTTCCCAGTGGGAACTGGAGTCAACTTTCAAGCTTTTTTTCTCCCCCCCTTGTGCAGGCTTGCTCAGTAGCAACACCTGGCCCTGCTGGAATTTGCAAAAAAAACATCAGTCACAACTCCTCATTGCAGGAAAACAATTCTGTGTGTGTGTGTATGTGTGTGTGTTCCCACATTGTTATAATTGAAGAGAATGTGTGAATTGTGCTTTGAGGGAATTTTCATTGAATTGTAAGAAAACTTTTCATCCAGCAAACTTCTAAACTGAGGGTAGGCCCAATACAGCCTACAGTATTGTGCAATGTAGACATGCAGCCTTGAGTGACTGTGTCTGCTGGGCCATTCTCCATCTCGATCCTGGCAGCCAAGCCATGGGCAGTATCTATTCGAGAAAGGTTGCTATAACTTTAGTGTTTTATATGTGTTCTGTACCACCTTTACCCTTCTGCCATTAAGTGAGAAAACTGATTTAAATGAACCCTCTATTTAACTCTGTCAAATCCTGAGGTGGTGGTATAAGTCATTAGGCTTGGCAAAATTTTCAGAGAGCTGTAGCATCATGAACAGGGTTGCTGCGGTTGGAAGGAGGGGGCCTAACTGGGCCTTGTGGGAAGAACCATCCCTACAGCCACGAGAGGTGTGGGACCTACCCAAAGCAACACCATGCTGCTCTGAGGTAAGGCTCTGCAGCAACCCTGAGCAGTGGCAATTGCAGTTGCTCGCCTTCTCCTCCTCTGACTTCCAAAGCCAAGTGGATGTAGCTTGGTTTAGGCATGTTGATTCCAAGCTACTAAATAGCCAAGGTGGGTGAAGTAATATCTTTTGTTGGCCCAATAAAAGATTTACCTCCCCCACCTTCTCTCTCTAAAGAACACATGTATTCATCCTTGAGTTACTACAGCTGGAGCAGAGTATCCAGACGCTTAATGGCTTAGTGCAGGTTCTTGCTGTAGTGTGGTTCACCCATGTGAGGAATAGGCTTCCTTACCACCTTTCTAGTGGGCACTGGCATCTATCAACATTAATGGGAGTTTCACAAATGCAGAAGTCAAGAACCACTAAAGAGCTCCTGGGTATGTGTCACAAATCAGGCCTTTGTGGGCTGTTACCTGGCACAATGCAGAAAATCTTCCACATTTGAACAGGACTGAGACTAATTCTGTTCTTAAAGCACAGTTTTTGTTTGGAGTAGGTGGGGGAGAGGGAGGCAGGAATAGAGGAACACACCAAAGTCAAATTGTACAATTAGCATAAGTTCTTGCCCTGGCTCATTAGAACAGTTGTACTCACAGGCATTCCTGCTGACAGCTCTGGGTTCCATCTCTGAGGAGCGGAATAATGGAGTGAGGAATGCATTAACAAGACATTGATTTAAAAACGATAAGTGGACTGCTACAAATAGACTCATCTGTCATTAAAAATTATCATGCAGGCAGCAGTCCCAATGGCTCAGCTGAAAACAATGCATCATCATGTGGCAGAGCTGGATTGAAGGTTCCCTCTCAGGCTCTACAAAATGGTCTCAAGGGTAGGGAGTACAACCCATTCCTCATGTGAATCCCCTAGTTCACATGCAGAGCTCAGTGGAGACTGCAAGATTTTGGCCAAGTCCATTGAAGGAACGCATGGAGAAAAGGTAAAATGACTGAAGGCTAGAACACGCCTTCTGATTGTGCTTAAACCATTTGCCACAGTTTGTGCTGCTTTACAATTATGTAAACTGCCTCTGTTTTTTAGCCTCCTAGGAGATAAGGTGTCAAGGTGTCTCCCCAACTCTGAACTTTAGGGTACAGATGTGGGGACCTGCATGAGATAACCCCTAAGTTTATTTACCAGCTTAGATCTTATAACTGCCACCACCAAATAGTTTAAACAAACATTTATGGGAGAGTCATTTGGAAACTCTGTCTTCCCCCCAATATTTCCCCCGTCTTTATCCCTCTTTTCCTGGCAGGATTGGGACTGATTCACTTCCTACCAATTCCTGGTGAGCCCAGATCCAAAAAACCCTTGGATCTTAAAACAAGGAAAAATTAATCAGGTTCTTAAAAGAAGACTTTTAATTAAAGAAAAAGGGTGAAAGGAACACCTCTGTGAGATTAGCATGCAAGCTACTCTCACAGACAACAGATTCAAAACACAGAGGATGTCCCTCTGGGCAAAAACTTAGTTACACAAAGAAACCCAATTTGATTCTCCCTCTATGCAAAAGAAAGTCACAAAAGACAATAAACATAATCTAATATATTCCTTCTCTAAACACTTACTACTTTTAAGAAATGTTAGATGGTTGATTGCTGGATCCTTCACTCCAGCACAAAACTTATTGAACAGACAAAAGACTGATTTCCCTCCTCCTTCTTTGAAAACATCTTGTCCCCCCATTGGTTCCTCTGGTCAGGTGTCAGCTAGGCTATGTGAACTTCTTAACCCTTTACAGGTAAAAGAGGAATTAACCCTTAACTATCTGTTTATGACATAAGGTGTGAGCATCTCTTTGAAAACCAAAGTAACTGGGGGTGTGTAAAGCCAGAAAGGCATTAACAGCAATGCAACAAGACTTTGTAATTTGTCTAATCTGGGTCTCGAGCACAGTGCCAGTGCAGCTATTGGTAAACTGGAGTCTGTATTCTATGTTATTGACTCTTTTCACATAGGCCACCAGACAGAGCTTACAGACACTACCAACACAATCTGACTTCAAACCATTGCCCCATATTATAATCCACTTAATCACCTCAGATTTTTTTTTAAATGAGATATTCTGAGTAAGAGAACTGATTGGATGGTGTAGCTGTAACAACCACCACACCTTGTAAAAGACATTTCTTTAGTTCACATTTAACTTTAGACTGGTTCATTACAATCATCACATAGTCAGGGCCGGCTCTAGGTTTTTTGCCGCCCCAAGCAAAAAAAATTTTGGCTGCCCCCAGTCCCAGCCCTGGGCTCCTCGCCGCACCCCCCTGCTGCCCCAGCCCTGGGCTCTCCCCACCCACCCCCCCTGCCGCCCCAGCTCTGGGCTCCCTCATTCCCCCCCACCATTGCCCCACACACACACCTCCTGCCGCCCCAGCCCTGGGCTCTCTCCCCCTCTCCCCCACCTGCACCCTCCTTCCGCTGCAGCCCTGGGTCACTGGTAACTCGCTCCCACGGCAGGTCATTCAGCATGAATTTTAGATGTGCACAGAACACAGACAGGATTGGTTCCCATATGGTTACAGAACTGCAGTAAAGTGGAACAATTTTCAGCTTGTGTGATTGGAGGATATCTGGATGCATATTATAAGACTGTCCTACGTAAATGAGGAAAAGTTGAGGTACCTTTATTATTCTTTTCTTCCACTCTTTCTTTCTATGGGGAATTTGCCAATGCAATATCACTGTCTTCCTTTTAAACAAACAAACAAACACTGTTGAAAATAGCAATTCCAGTCCTAATAACCACTGGGAAACATTTCTTGCTCAATTTTATCCTACTTTTTCTACAGCAAGTTACAGTGGATCAGTATATTTGGTTTGGGAGAAATGAAGTAACAGCTGCCCAAACTGAGCTTGAGCACTCCTGAATTTTGAGGTGTTCAAATCTGGAAGGCAGGTGCTGGGGGGGTGGAGGGGGCTGTGGCTCCGCAGGGGAGCACGGCAGCATGTATGCAGCAGTGTGTCTGGCGCTGCGCGGAGCCAGACATGCTGGTCTGAGTGGCACGGTAAGGTGGCTGGGGGGTTGGATGGGGCGGAGGTTCAGGGGGGCAGTCAGGGGCCGGGAGAAGGGGGGGTTAGATGGGTCAGGGGTTGGGGGGGCAGTCAGGGGACAGGCAGCGGTTGGATAGGCATGGGAGTCCCGGGGATTTGTCAGGGGACAGGTAGGGGGTGGGGTCCTAGGGGGGAAGTTGGGGGGGTCTCAGGAGGGGACAGTTGGGGACAAGGAGAAGGGAGGCTTAGATAGGGGGTGGGATCCTGGGGGCAGTTAGGGGCAGGGGTCCCAGGAGTGGGTGATCAGGGGACAGGGAGCAGGGGGGTTGGATGGGTTGGGGTTTCTGTGGGGGGCAGTCAGAGGGGGTGGATGGTGCCAGGCTGGGGCTACCCTCCCTCCCTGTGGAGTGTCCTATTTTTTGAATGTTAAAATATAGTATCCCTACCCTTCACAGCGCAGCTCTCCATTCATAGCAGGCTGCAGCATGAGGTCTCAGCTTCCCCACTCCCTCCCCCTCTTTTCTGTTGGTAGTGGCCAAGGGAATGCTGGGAAATGTAGTTCTTTCCCTGCTCCAGGCCTGGCTC